GAAAAACCCAAAACAAAAATGTCAGTATGACTGGCTATTACATGAATAAGCAAGCTGTTCGCCAGGTAGCCATTAAGGTAAGCAATCAAGTTCCTTCAGGTCAGACTCCCCTCTAAGACTGAAAATCAAAGGGAACACATGAAGAGGCATGTAAGCTTGTTGGTGACCACATTGGTCTACGGGTGAGTGGAAGCAGAGGAAAGGCAGCATTGAAGAAATGGGCTGAGTTCAACAGTCCATCGACTCCTGTTGATCTGGAGACGAGAGAGAGAAGAGGAAAGGCTGGTTGGTCCAAAGTGTGGTGAGACCTGGGGACACTTAAGCCCATGGACAAGGACATAGCCACAGAGGGCTAGATCTGAGAGTGAAGCATCCAGCTGATATGAAGTGAGCGGAGATGTACAAGAACACCCAAACGTGCATACAACAGTACCCACCTGACCTAGTCTTGATGGCTTGAAAATCAGAACTTGACTAGAGGAAGATTACAAAACAAAAAAAAACACACACACAATTTTTGATAACGGAAACAAAGGTAAAATTGCTCCAATTTGATGAACCTGACCTATACTCATGGAGTTAGTGGTTATGTGTTGTAGTCGGAACCGACTCATAGTGACCCTGTACAGGGTTTCCAAGGCTGTAAATCTTTACGTAAGCAGAAAGCCTCATCTTTCTCCTGAGGAACAGCTGGCAGTTTTGAACTGCTGACCTTAAGGTTTTCAGCCTGATTCATAATCACTAAACTACCAGAGCTCCTATACTTATGGAGGTAGTAATTCTAAATACCAACAGAGAAGGAAGGAGTCTTCACATCAAGTATCAATGCTATCTCCTCTCTACACAGGATAGATAAGGACGGGCAACTTAAGACACTGGCTACCTAAAATGAAGGGGCAATAAAGACACAAAGTGACTTGCTTACAAGGTATCAAGAGGGAGTTTAAGTGTGTGGGGGAAGAAAGAGTCCCCACTGAAAAATTTTCATTTTGTCTATATGGCTCTGGTAAAAATAGATGGGGATAAGATTTCTTATGATTCAATAGTGAATAATCATCATGACTAATTCCAACTGTCACCATTATAAAGGTAAAAGTTTTGTAACAAAAATAAGGGAGTGGTTAATCTTACAGTCCAGAAATGGAGGACCCCAGGGCCATCAAGGGGAAAGAGCACAAGCAGAATGTGGGATCTTATCCAGAGAAGCAGCAACGCCAGAGACAGAGGCAGAGATGGGGTCATGGAAAAGGGGACTCTAGATTCATTGGAAGAGAGGGACTAAGAGGTGGTGGCCAGGAGGCTATCTTGCAGAATGTGCCCTTTAAAGGTATAAATTATATATGCCTGAGTGGTTTTTTTCTTTTGTTTAAAAAAATCTAAAGTGAATAGCGAGAAAAACTGTTAACTGATGGTACATACAGGGGATTATATTATTGTAATGAAACAAGGTGTATGATTTGTTTAATGTAAAACTGATGATATGCCCTGTAAACTGTCACTCGATCCACAATAAAAACCTTAAGAAAAAAGTCAGTAAAAAAAAAAAGACAGCTAACATTTACTGAATGCCTACTACATGCTGAACACCGATCGTAGGATTCTACACTTAACTCACTGCATCCTCATAAACGTGCCTTCAGGTCAGTACTCTAATTATTTCCATTTTTCAGGGAGAGAAATGGAAACATACAGAGGTTATAACTAGCTAGTGGGGACAGTGGCTGTTCGCTGGCAGAATTCTCCCCTTTCACATGAGTCACCTAAGTTCAATTCTTGGTCAGTGCACTTCAAGTATTGTCACCACCTAGGAATGGAGGCTTGTGTGCTGCCATGATGCTGAACAGAGCTTCTAGACTAAGAAAGCTTAGGAAGAAAGGTCTAGATACCTACTCCCCCAAATCAACCAATGAAAACCCTATCCCAGTGGTCTGACACACAACCATTATGTGGATGGCACAATGGTGCACTGGGATTACCATGAGTCAGGCACTGACTTGATGGTAGCTAACAAGAAGCCACTAAGTGGTGAAGACAAGATTTAAGTTCATGCAGTTTGGCTCCAGAACATACACTCTTAATGAGAAATCTCTGTTGCCTAATCAGACAATGAAAAAAAGGTTTATCAGGAAAACAATCTGAAAGTTACAAATAAGTATTTTTAAAATGAGATAGAAAAAAATGGATAGAACCACCAGGATGTCCCAAGCATTTTTACTGTTTTATTCTTTGCTAAACATTAAAAATAAAAAGCAAACTGTTGTAATATTCTATGTCCTGTTTTGAAAATCCATTTTCATTGTTTATGCCTTTCAGAGGAAGATTTCTTTGTAATATAATAATCAATGCACTCCTTCTTTCAACTTCTTTATTAATAAGATGGTTGCATAGAAGATATACACATTCTTATACTGACAATTTTTGTCATGAACAAAAGCAACACAAATAAGCCAATAGCAAGATACATGTCACATATAAACAATCACGTTGTAAGAACAGGAGAGCTGGGTCCCTGTACAACAAAAAGATTAGGAAGCAAAATGTGAGTAAGCCATGTACTCAGAATATACCTAATGTGTATGCAAAGACTGTGCACCTATAATACAGCTCACCTAGGTTCCTTTGTTTATGATGCATAATTCCTAAATCATCCATTTGTGAATGAACATGAAGAAACAACAGGAAATCTGAATCACATTTATTTTCACAATGTCAGCGTTAAACTCAAAATAGAAACTTCATTGACTCTAAATGTTAAATACTTCAAAAGAAAAAGACAATCTTAATTTTCTTGAACAATGAATGAAGTCTGCCAAAAACAGTGGATTACTTCACTCTACTTGGAAGGAGACAAGGTCTCAGTCCATACCAAAGTAGCATGAGCAACAAAGGACAAGTATCACTGAGTAATGCCCAGACACATCAAAATATCTAGCTGAGCCATATCCTTCTACTTTTATATAGCAAGCCTATTGAGCAAATAGCGTAATAAAAGCTTACATCTCATGTGACAGAATTACTAATGTAACTATGCTTCTATCAGAAATTTCTAAACTCTTGCTTCCAAAACAATTTTAGTACACGTTATACACTGCAGGTCATTTAGAAAAACAAAAATAAAGCATACATACACTAGTCTTTGCAATTACAAAATTTTATAACATGAACAAAGAAGCTAAGATATAAATTTTCAACCAAGTATTTTTCTGAATATGATTTATATAATCAAGGTTTTCTTAAACAAAGATAGGTCTTAAGTATCTGATCTGTACAAACTTACAGTAGTGTATATTCCAAATAAGGAATTTCTTCCTATTATGATATGACAGTAGACCTGTTTTCTGAGTAAAGATGTATGTTAAGGCTTAAGGTGTAAACACTTTGAAAAGCAAACAACTTAGTGAAGAAAATATTACTCATTTGAAAATGTGTATCATCTCATAATAGGCCCCTGAACTTACAAATTTACATGAGAGAATACATTTACATCTTAAATTTCTAGGAAAGGCACAAGCTTTATGTAAAAATGCAGCAAATTTTTAAACCTACCAATTTATTGAAAAATCCATGACTTTATTACAGAAACAAATAATTGCTTCTCAAGATGTCAACAGGTCATACATACAGACATACATTTCACACAGTGATTTTCTCCCTTTAGTTACATTCCAGCGGGAGGTGGAATGCCTCCTTGGCCATGTGCAGTAGAAGTATTTGAAGGACTGTGTAAACTTGTCTCCTTGTATACAAACCAAGCATTTCCGCCCCAAAGTATCATATTCAGAAATCCAAAGATCTATGAAGGAAAACAGTAAATATGACAATCTAATACCTAGTTAAATATTCATTTCAATCCCAGTTTTCCTTTAAATATTTCACATTTCCAGACAGTATACCATTATTTAGATCCCAGATGGCGCAATGGTTAAAGACCTCAGCTTCTAACTATGAGGTTAGGGTTCAAACCCACTATCTTCTCCATAAGGAAAAGATGTGGTAAATTATCTTTTGTAAAGATTACAGCCTTGGAAAGCCTATGGGGCAGTTTGTAGCTCATAGGGCCACTGTGAGTCTGAATCAACTCAATGGCAGTGGATTGTTTTATGCCACTAAAATTGACTACTACATACAAAGTAGAATAGACAAAGGAAGACTTACTTTATATTTTCAATGTACCAAATTTGGACTTATAATTATCTACAACCTATGAAATGTTAAAAGAAATTTTATTTTTGCATGTTAATTATTACTGAAGAGATGGAATACATTTGAGACAATTTAAATTCTTTTTTCAAAAAAAATCTTTGTATTTAGACTTATGGTTCAGGGTACAGAGAAACAACAGAAATACTTGTTTCCTTCTTTGGGGGACTTGTACTTTTCTCCCCATTCTACATGGTAATCAGCTGCCTTTGTTTACCCTTTCTTATTTCCCTCTTTCTCCGTCTCCTACCATCTCCCCTGCATTTCAATAGCAGCAGCCACAAAAGGTCACAGAAAAACTTCCGCTCATATCTGTGTCAGTCAACCTAAAAGACAGTCATCTTCCCAGCTATTAATCTGAAAATATGAAATAAAGTTTCTGAGATGAATAAAGTAAAAATAACATATTTTAATGGAGTCCTTTGTAAAAATAAGAATAATACAAAAGAACTATATCACTGAAAGTCAAATGTTTTACATCTTTTTAGATATTTGTATTTAAAAAACTACATTTCTGAAATTGTTCGATTCATATCACTGTATCACTGTCAATATAAACGAAAAAGTACTGATTTTTAAATAATAAAGTTCTAAAACTGGGGTGGATTACTTTTTACAAGGCAGTGCTGACTTCATCCACTAAAAATATTTTCTTGAAAAGACAGCAGACCTCTCTAAGCATAAAATACTGAATATTAATGGTGATCTATGGTATACCCTTGAAGTACATGTTTAATAAGTACACTAACTTATTCTGACAAATTGGCAGAGTAAATATTATTTAACACCTTGTTGTTGTTAGGTGCCATCGAGTCAACGCCGACTCATAGCGACCTTATGCACAGCAAAATGAAAACACTGCCTGATCCCGGGCCAACCTCACTGCTGTTGCCACACCTGAGCCCATTAATGCTGCCACTTGGCCAATCCATCTTGCTGGAGTCTTCCTCTTTTTCTCTGACCCTCCACCTTACCAAATATGATATCATTCTCCAGTGATTGATCCCTCCTGACAATATGTCTACAGTATGACAGATGAAGTTTGGCCATCTTGGCCTCCAAGGAGCACTCGGGCTGCACTTCTTCCAACACAGATCTGTTGGTTCTTTTGGCAGCCCATAGCACTTTTAATATTCTCCTCCAACACCATAACTCAAAAGCATCAATTCTTCTATGGTCTTCCTTATTTATTATCCAACTTTCACATGCATTTGAAGTTATTGAAAATACCATGGTTTGGGTCAGGCGCACCTTAGTCCTCAAGCTGACAACTTTGTTTTTCAATACTTTAAAAAAGGTCTTGTGCAGCAGATTTGCCTAATGCAATAAGTTGTTTGATTTCTTGGCTGCTGCTTCCATGAGTATTGATAGTTGGTCCAAGAAGAATGAAGTCCTTGACAACTTCAATCTTTTCTCCGTTGATAAGAATGCTGTTTATTGGTCCAGTGGTGAGGATTTTTGTTTTCTTTACATTGAGATGTAATCCATACTGAAGGCTGTACTCTTTGATTTTCATCAGTAAATATTTTAAGTCCTCTTCGCTTTCAGCAAGCAAGGTTGTATCATCTGCAGGTTGTTAATGAGTCTTCCTCAATACTGATGCCACGTTTTTCTTCATATAACCCAGCTTCTCAGATTATTTTCTCAGCATACAGGTTGAAAAAGCATGGTAAAAGAATACAACCCTGTTGTACACCTTTCTTAATTTTAAACCATCAAGTGTAGATGACTCGTTGTTGTTGTTGTGTGCCGTGGAGTTGGTTCTGACTCATAGCGACCCTGTACAGGGTTTCCGAGGCTGTAAATCTTTATGGGAGCAGAATGCCTCCTCTTTAGGACAGTATAATATTATTTCTTTCATATACACAGAGCATCTTTAGATTCAGAGAGAAGGCTTTAAGGTCAGATATGCTTTCTAACCTTGGCTTGCTAATTATTAGCAGTGTTATTTTCCGGTTTTAAAATGAAGAGTGCCTGGCACTCATTCTTAATGAAAGTGAGTAACTATGATTAGGGCCTTCTGGTAAAAGTCCTGCTTTGTTAAGTGCCATCAAGTCAGTTCTAACTCATAGAGACCCTGCATAGGGATTCCAAGGAGCCGCTAGTGGGTTTGAACCATTTATCTTGTGATTACTAGTCCAGCACTTTTCCTACAGTGCCACACCAGGACTCCAAAAGTTCAGCCCAGTCCATTTTAATGAAAGTAAGATTCAATCATTAGTCCAGCAACAAAATTCAATTGTGATCTTGGTCAAAACTGTTTACAAGTAATAATTTAAAGTTTTCTTAATGGTTTAAAGGTGTTAGTTGTTATTAGATACTGTTGAGTCAGTCTCCACTCATAGCAACACTATGTACAACAGAACAAAACACTGCTTGATCCTTTGTCATCCTCACAATTGTTTGCTATGTTTGAATCCATTGTTGCAGCTACTGTATCAGTCCATTTCATTAAGGGTCTTCCTCTTTCTCATTGACCCTCTACCATCCTTGATTCTAAGGAGCATTCTGGTTGTACTTCTTTCAATATAGATTTGTTTGTTCTTCTGGCAATTCAAGCATATTCAATGTATATTAATTATTCTTTGTCAACATCCTAATTCAAAGGCACCATCAACTCTTCTTTGGTCTTACTCATTGCCCAGCTTTCCTATACATATGAGGCGACTGAAAATATCATGCATTAGGTGCACCTTAGTCTTCAAAGTATATCTTTGCTCTTTCATATTTTAAAGAGATCTTTTGCAGATTCGACTAATGAAATATGATAATACCTGGCTCTATTAAATTTTCTAAATATTTTATAAGCACTTATTTAAAAAGAACCCTTGGTGGCAGAATGGGTTATGCATTGAGCTATGAGCTACAGGGTGAGCAGTTCAAATCTGCGGACTGCTCCCACAAAGATTTTCAGCCTTGAAAATCTTGTACAGGGTTGCTATGAGTCAGAGCCTGCTCCAGGCCACAAAGCAACAGCAACTCATTTAAATCTTACAGCAAACTGAGGTACAACACCATTCTATAAACCAAGAAACCAAGACTCAGAAAGAACAAAGTCATCAGGTCTCTTTTTCAGTTTTTGTGGTTAAATATAATAAAAATTTTAAAACATTTTAAGCATTGTAAATGTAGAGGAAATTGAAATGTCATTATCCCAAGCAAAAATTCTATACTCATTAAACATTAATTCCATATTCTCCTCTCCTAGCCCCTGGCAACCTTTTTTGTCTACATGCATTTACCTATTTATGTACCTCATGTAAGTGTTCACTTGTGTTAGACTTATCAAACTTTTTTGAATTTTTGGCTAAGTTTGAATTCCTTCTTATGACTTAAGAATAATCCATAAATGCACATACCACATTTTGTTTATCCATTCATCTGTTAAGAAACATTTGGGTTGATTCAACATTTTGGCTATTAGAAATAATGCTGTTATGGATATCAGTTAAAAAAAAAAAAAAAGGTAAACACTATGTAGGTGGGATTCTGATAGCTCTTAGTAAACAAAAACCAACATATTCACCCAAAAAACTTATTTAAAAACAAATGAAACTACTAACCATCTTAAATTACTAGTAAGCTTTTCCTAATAAGTTAAATAATTTTTTTTTAGAAATAATGTATACATACCACAGAAACATTTAGGGATCCCATACTGGTAACAGAGTCAAAATAACAGGTCACTGCTGAAGGCTTATGACAAGGCTCAAGTTCCTGAATAATATTGTGGCCAGTAGCAATTTTGATATCGGTAAGAGCTTTAGCCCAGGCTGAAGTGCTCACCAACCATAAAAACGTGGCAATAATAGTAATAACAAAGTCCTGAAAGAAAAATAATGAACAGTAAACTTAAAATTTTACAATTCATGAAATTATGTTTAACTTTAAGGTCATGAAAAAATACATACTGAAAAGTAACAATCAACCAAGTACCACTGTTGTATCTAATTCACTGAGATACAACAGTGAATTAGACTTAATCATCACCCAGGAATCTAAGATGATATACTAGAAACCAAAGTCTTATCTAACTCTAACTATAATTAAAGGTCCTGATGTGGCGCTGCAGAATAATGCAGTGGACTGCATTTTGAACTGCAAAGTCAGTGGTTCAAACCCACCAGCCACTCCTCGGAAACCCTATACAGAGTCGGAACTGACTCAACAACACTTAACACCAACAACGATAATTACGGAGCATTGGTAGTGCAGTGTTAAGTGGTCAGCTGCTAAATGAAATGGTTGGAAGTTCAAACCCACCAGCTGTTCCACAGGAGAAAGATGTGGCAATCTGCTTCCATAAATACTATAGCCTCAGAAAACGATATGCAGAAGATTGAAACAAGACCCTCACCTCACACCTTATACAAAAACCAACTCAGCATGGATTAAAGACCTAAATGTGAATCCCAGAATTATGAAGGTCATCAATGAAAAAATAGGGACAAATGCGAGGGCACCGATTCAGGTAATATACAGACTACAAAACATTTTGAAAACCACACAAACAAAAGTAGACAAAATAGATGTGTGGGACACACTAAAAATTAAAAACTTAAGTGCATCAAAAGACTTCACCAAAGGAGTAAAAAGGGAACCCACAGAATGGGAAATAATCTTTTGCAATGACACATCAGACAATTCTAAAATATAAAGGAAATTACAACGCCTCTACAAGAAAAAGACAAATAACCCAATTAAAAAATCGGCACAGGAC